TTCAGGCAATTCTCCTGCCTCAGCCTCCTGAGCAGCTGGGACTACAGACACGCACCACCATGCCCAGCTAATTTTTTTGTATTTTTAGTAGAGACGGGGTTTCGCCATGTTGACCAGGATGGTCTCGATCTCTTGACCTCGTGATCCACCCGCCTCGGCCTCCCACAGTGCTGGGATTACAGGCTTGAGCCACCGCGCCCGGCCGAGACTGGATAATTTACCAAAGGGCTCAGAGTTAACAGGGCAGGGATCTGAACTCAGGTGGCAGACTCAGGCCCATGGCATCACCCACTGAAGCACTATCCTTGGACAACACAGACATCCACGATGACACTCGGACCTCATGGGCTCCTGTAAGTTGTCAGGGATACCTGGAAATATTCTTTGTTACTGGTCCAAAATGGTTGATGCAGTTGGCACCATGCAATTGCCTCAAGCAGGGATGTCTGTGTTCTACTACAGAGTATATCTGTATTAATCTCTTGTCATCCTTAAGTTTTTCCAAAACACCACTACTGAAAGAAAGAGACCATGTATACCCAATTTTTTTCTATTTTTTTTTTTTTTGAGACAGGGTCTCACTCCCTTGCTCAGACTAAAGTGCAGTGGCGTGATCTTGGCTCACCACATCCTCCACCTCCCAGGTCAAGTGATTCGCCTCAGCCTTCCTGAGTAGCTGGGATTACAGGCACAAGCCACCACACCCAGCTAGTTTTTGTATTTTTAGTAGAGACAGGGTTTCACAATGTTGACCAGGCTGGTATATTCCTTTTTATAGATGAGGACACTGTGGTAGAAGGAAGTCATTTGCCAGTTTTGCAGTAATTCACAAACTCTTCCAAGAAACTATCTCAGATTTCACTATTCTCAAACAACTTAATCTCTAGACCCATTAATATTCTTTCTTTGCTGTTAACATGGTTATATTTTATTAAAATAGTAACTGACTTTGGGAACTCAGTAATCACAGAAAAGTGCCATCCTTAGAGAAACAATGTCCAATATGAAATCTAATTAATGTGCTTGAATAAATGTAGCTTGTGATCATTTACAAAATTATAAGAAACATTAATCACCGGGTGCGGCGGCTCACAGTAATCCCAGTGCTGGCAGGCTGAGGCGGGCAGATCACGAGGTCAGGAGTTTGAGACCAGCCTGGACAACACAGTGAAACCCTGTCTCTACTAAAATATAAAAATTAGCTGGACGTGGTGGCTCACACATGTAATTCAAGCACTTTGGAGGCCAAGGCGGGTGGATCACCTGAGGTCGGGAGTTCAAAACCAGCCTTACCAACATGGTGAAACCTCGTGTTTATATTTAATAAAAAAATAAAAAGTAAAAAAAAAAAAAATTAGCTGGGCATAGTGGCACAGGCCTGTAATCCCAGCTACTCAGCAGGCTGAAGCAGGAGAATCACTTGAACCCGGGAGGCGGAGGTTGCAGTGAGCTGAGGTCGCACCACTGCACTCCAGCCTGGGCAACAGAGCAAGACTCCAACTCAAAAATAATAATAATCTAAAATATTGTATGAAAAAAATCATTAGAGAAACAACATAGTGTTCTGTTCATCTCACCATAATACATGGGAATTACCCCAAAGTTCAATTGATGTAAGTAGATTTGAATACAAAGAGCATAAAAATAAAGTGAGGTACTAACATGTTACCAATTTCGTAGTTACTGGTAAATCTGAGGTACAGATTATTCATTTATTTATGCAGAAAATGGACAGAATGAAAACAAAGCTATGACAACAAATAGATCACTTTCAAAAATGTGCAGAATCTAATGGCAAACACATTGAATATTTGCTTTCTTTTTTTAAATTTTACTTTAAGTTCTGGGATACATGTGCTGAACATGCAGGTTTGTTACATAGGTATACATGTGCAATGGTGGTTTGCTGTACTGAATATTTGCTTTCTTAAGCTCTGTGCCTTGCAACTCTAACACAGTAACTGTTAACATTTATTGGGTGCCTTCCTATGCTGTGCTCCACATAGATCACCTGAAGTAACCCTGTGATAGGCCTTGTAATAACACTTATAGAATAAAGAATTTGGTGCACCTCTCTCCCTCATTCCTGGGAGGTAGCTTCTAAATTCTTGGACTTTCTCAAGTAATAGAAGTGTCTTGTTATTCATGACATGCCCTGAGAGTATGTGCTACTGAGGTGACTTGTGGTGAAGCCCTAGATAATCTGTGCTAACAAGATGACTCAGAGTTGGGGCTGGCCATTCCAGAAAGAGACAAACCATGTAATTAAAGTATTGGCCCTTTGGGCTTCCTGATGTCAGTCTGACCTCCAGGAAAGGAAAGAGGGATGGAGGTTGACCTCAATCACAGGGCCAAAGATTTAATTAATCATGTCTATGTAATGAAGCCCCAATAAACACTCTGGAGAGCTTCCTTGGTTAACGATACTCTGTGTGTTATTATTACATGCAAATATGCCCGGATTATGCTGCATCCTGATCACACAGGGTGAGGATACTAGGAGCTTAAATCTGGGACCCTCTCAGACTTCATTCTGTGAGTCTCTTCCTTTGGCTGGTTTTGATTTGTATCTTTTTTGGTGTAATAAAACTAATTTTAAGTACAGTGATTTTCTGAGTTCTATGAGCCATTCTAGTGAATTACTGAACTTAAGGTTAACAGTGGGATCCCCAAACTTATGGGTGGCAACTCAAGTGAGAGCAGCCTTACAGAAGATTGTGTGCTTAACCCATAGTGTCTGGTTGAACTGCAGATAGTGTCAGAAGTCACTACAACCTGTAATAGATAGGTACTATGATCTTCATCTTGTAATGAGGAAATTTAGGCACAGAAACAGGTCAAGTGACTTGTCCAAGATTAGACAGCAGAGAGCCGGGATTTGAACCTAAATCCACCTGACTCCAATCCTATGTCCTTAAATAATGGGCTAGCTCTTTGCCTCAGTGACTAGACAAATAGGAATCTGTAGCATTTATTAGGAAAAGTATATATACATATATAAACATTTTATGGAATATCCCCAAATAACAATGCTAGTTTTTCAGTGCCACTGATGGATCACTAATATAACATCATGGGACTCTATTTTTTTAATAATAGTTTTCCACGTATCATTTAGAATTACTCCTCACTACATAGTTCCCCTCACATTATACGCTAAATACCAGGCAAAAATTGGGGAAAAACAGACATTAAAAACAAAAAGAGGAATACCAATAAACACTATCATACAACAATGAAAGAACATTAGCATTATTGCAATTTATAAACTTGCACAATGTTAACTCACTTCTTCAGCAGACATGTGAAACCGTAATGCATTTGGCAAGACGCTACCATACTCCCATCTGAGTGCTCTGATCCGAAGCAAGCGGTCATACCTAGGACATCAAGAAGGCATTGGGTGGTAAGAATAAAAGGGGGATCATGTGTGGACTTGTTTGGACCTTGACGCAAACATACCAGCTCTAAAAAGACATCTTAGGGACAACTAGAGGAACATCTGCACAGTCTGAAAAGTCAGCCTGAATGTACTGTCCACTGCTCCATGTGTGACAGTTTTGAGACAGTTTTGCTCTTCTCACCCAGGCTGGAGTGCAGTGGAGTGATCTCGGCTCACTGCAACCTCCGCCTCCCGGTTTCAAGCGATTCTCCTGTCTTAACCTCCCAAGTAGCTGGGATTAGGTACCCACCACCATGCCCGGCTAATGTTTGCATTTTCAGTAGAGACAGGGTTTCACCATATTGGCCAGGCTGGTCTCGAACTCCTGATCTCAGGTGATCCATCTACCTCAGCCTCCCAAAGTGCTGGGATTACAGGCATGAGCCACTATGCCCGGCCCTGGTTAATTTTTGTATTTTTTTTTGTAGAGACGGGACTTCACCATGTTGGCCAGGCCAGTCTCGATCTCTTGACCTCGTGATCCACCTGCCTCGGCCTCCCAAAGTGCTGGGATTACAGGCTTGAGCCACCGTGCCCGGCCCTGGTTAATTTTTGTATTTTTTTTTGTAGAGACGGGACTTCACCATGTTGGCCAGGCCAGTCTGGAATTCCTGACCTCGTGATCCACCTGCCTCAGCCTCCCAAAGTGCTGAGATGACAGGTGTAAGCCACCACACCCAACCAAAGCTCCTTATTTCTAAGACAAAGAAGAAGAATAGTAAGAACACAACCATATTCAGTAGTGACACACCATGATGCACTTCAATAGTGTGGCACTGGCCGGGCGTGCTGACTCACACCTGTAATCCCAGGACTTTGGGAGTCCGAGGTGGGTGGATCACAAGGTCAGAAGTTCAAGAACAGCCTGGTGGAGATGATGCAACCCCATCTCTACTAAAAATACAAATATTAGCCGAGCACAGTGGCAGCGGCCTGTAATCCCAGCTACTGGGGAGGCTGAGGCAGGAGAATTGCTTAAACCCCGGCGGGAGAGGTTGCAGTGGGCCAAGATCGCGCCACTACACTCCAGCCTGGGCAATACAGTGATACTGTCTAAAAAAAAAAATAGCGTAGCACCAACAAGCAAAACACGGTGAAGAAAATATGGCAAAATGGCAAAATAATTAAAATTGTTAAAACCATATGATGGCTCCACTGAGGTTCATTATAGTATCATTCTCCCTACTTTTAAAAGTGTCAGCTGGGCACAGTGGCTCACGCCTGTAATCCCAGCACTGTGGGAGGCCGAGGCGGGTGGATCACGAGGTCAAGACATTGAGGCCATCCTGGTCAACATGGTGAAACCCCGTCTCTACTAAAAATACAAAAAATTACAGGCACGGTGGCATGTGCCTGTAATCCCAGCTACTCAGGAGGCTCAGGCAGGAGAATTGCCTGAACCCAGGAGGCGGAGGTTGCGGCAAGCCGAGATCACGCCATTGCACTCCAGCCTGGGTAACAAGAGTGAAACTCCGTCTCAAAAAAAAAAACAAAAAACAAAAAACAGAGAGAGAGAGAAATCTAAGATTTAATGTTACCCATTTGAGATAGTCACCTGGGAAACCACACAGAAAACCCTGTCACCACAAGCAAAAATTAAGAAGCTTACAGGTATGCTACAGTACAGCGTCGATTTCTTAACAGAGAACAGTGTCGAAATTTGATAGTTGGTATCAAATCACTTCGTCCACCTGACTTCGCTTCATTCCTGATAGGAGCATTTAAAAAGAAAAAAAAAATGTACTTTTCAGGATAAGTAAAATTTTCAAAGCCAACTAACAACTGACTTACATGCTTGTTTGTAATCCATTTGTGATTAGCAGTTAACCCAGGCAAATAATTAACTATTTGTACATCAGAGCTTTTTTTCTTTTTCTTTTTTCTTTTTTTTTTAAGACGGAGTTTCGCTCTTGTTACCCAGGCTGGAGTGCAATGGCGCGATCTCGGCTCACCGCAACCTCCGCCTCCTGGGTTCAGGCAATTCTCCTGCCC